TCAGACGACCGCTGTTGGTTGGAGCGCGAAATCGGTGCTGGCGAAGTCGTTTGTTGCCGGACCAAATGGCCAACACTTTCTCGATCGGCAAGCTGCCAGGCCGTCCGCGAACATGACCTCCCTTCTTGGATAGGCCTGGCAGCAGTTGCGGTTCTCCAGATGGAAGCACACGAATGGTACAGTACCTTGGCACGTATTCATGCACCCGTCCAGAACCGATGCCTGTTGCCGTGCCCGATTGCCCTGATCCCTTCGAAGCGACAGTCGTCGACCCTTCACCGATCGGCTGAGCTGTTGGAGAAGTCGCTTTTCCACACGGCAGCCCCTTCACAGCCTCCCCTTCGCTGAGAGCAGTCACAGCATGACAGGCCTGAGCCATGCTCTCGTAGAAGAAGCGTTCCACATGCCGTGAACGCTCCAACAGTGATTCTGGTGGTAAGTCGATCACTTCCATGATACAGGCCAGTTGATCCCCTTCATCCTCACCAGGAAAGAGAGGTAGGCCTGAGGGTGGAGGGAAAATGGATACGAATAAATCAGGGGCAATTGGTATGGCATAGTTTGGCGAATCAAAGGGATAAAAATGTAAGACAATAGAAGAGCCAGACTGCGTATTGACAACATTCTAATTGAAATATTGACAGTTTGTAATAATTATAAGCTTAAATAAACCGCTAAACCATTCATTCTTACAGTGTAAGTCTTGGTATCATATTTGTCACCCTTTTACAACTTTTCTTCTGCATTACATTCGTGCTGGGATCAAAATAGTCATTTGTACTTCCTTCGCACTAAACCATATTTTAGGGATGTCAAAATTATAGAATTTCTTCAAGATTTTTCAATTTAGCGAGGCATTATTCAAGCAGGCTGAGTCAAGCCTTAATCAAGGCCTCCATCCACAAGTAGGTGTGTACTAAAAAGAAGAAGATCAACTCTAAAATCCCCCATATATATATATATATATATAGCAAAAGCTCGAACTGAATGTGTGTATATGAAGACCAAGATGTTGTGGTCCCTCTTATGGTCGCAGTCTCCTTTTGATTTATAGAAGTGGGTTGACCTCGTTGTCGCAACTTGGTCTTGTTGTCAGGGCGACTATGTAGAACGCACCTAGTCATGTCATAGTAGTTGTCATGATTTCCAGCATCTGACAGTGGACTCGATACATTCTCAAACGTTTCGCCGCATCATAGTTGGCATCATTAGTGAGGTTTGCCATTCGCCGCACCAAGCTACGAACTCATCAAAGAGACAAGTGAAGTCAATCCTTCGACAAGCGTTATGCCGAAAACGGTTACAGAAAGAGGAGTGATAGTCTCCTTGACAACAAGACCAAGTTGCGACAACCAACTTCTATGAATGTGTGTAAGTTTTTCCTACTAAAATATTTCTGAGAACTATATATTATACTATACAAATTTTACAAAAGGCTTAATAGGCAAGAGGAACCCAAAAACTATCTTAATTAGAAATAATAGGCAGACTCTGATCAAACCTCACAGCACATACAAAGAAGTTCTATGCTTGACAATAGTAGCAGATCAAAGAGTGGATACGGGTATGATAGTGTATTTGTTTTATGCGACCATATAAACTTAGTGATTCTTGGCCTCTAAAATGAACAAGGCATGATGGGAGATAATTAAAAAGTTGACATAACTACCGTATTTCCCCATGTATAAGCACCCCCTTTGTATAAGCCACCCCCCAATTTTTTGACTGTGAAGTTTTGAAAAATATTTTATTTGAAACAAGTTACAAAAAGAAAGAAGTTTTACAAACAAACAAAATTCAAGACTCATAATAATCGCTCATACACTCATCATGACTGTCTGGTGCATCAGGTATAGTGACAACCCCCTCACATTCCTCGTCTTCTTCCATATCACTAGCATCGAATTTAGCTAACAGTTCTTCCTCCTCTGTATCATCTTCATCGCCATCTTCATATATCAAGTGAT